GGCGGAGGAGGCGGACGGGGGTGGGAGAGGAACGAAGAGCAACGTCACGCCAAGGTGTGCTACAGTAGATGGACAATCTATTCGAACCCTTACACATTCGAGCGAGATTCTGAATCACCCCCACGCCCCCGACATCAATGTTGATCTCAGTAAAGGCGGTGCTTTAGGGTTCGAACATTTCTGTCCACGCACGGCCCCCCCGTCGTCACGCCATCAATACTAATGTCGGGGGGCCTGGGGGGCATCTTGGGCCACAGGGTTCGAATCTAATGTCCATGTGCGGTAGCGATGCTGCAGTACCCTGCTTTCTGTCCCCAGTCCTCTCGTCAGGCGTTCCCCGAAACCATGTTCTTCTCGCCTCCTGTGACGACGGAAGAACATCGAGCTGATCTTTCGCCGCCGCACTTTTGCCAGCCTTCGAGGCCGCGGCAGCGTGGGCTCCCGCGTCGGCGCGGTGGCCATGGCGCAGACGCGAGCGAACCCCCCTGGAAGGGCGAGCGCCCCAGGGGCCCGCAGATTCTCGAGGGACTGCAGCGGGAGCGCGCAGCAAGAAACCATCCTGCCTGTCGTCAGGGTGCCCCTTGGCCTCGTCGCTCCGCGCGCTGCGTGGTGGCTTCCCGCGGCCGTCAGAGTAGCGGTTGCGTTCGGGGTGCTCCAGGTTTCCCTCCAGGTGCACCTCGCGCGCGGGTTTTCAGGGTTGGGCTTCGTGCGAGGCCTGCCTGCGACCGCGCCCGCGCATCCCCCCCTCGAAATCAAACGCAAGTGTTTCCAACCACGTGTTGGCGCCCACAGGCCGCCGATCTAAATGTTGACGCCGGAACTGGTGACAGCAACTGTTTCGTCGGGCCGCGCTGCGCGCGCCCGTCAACGCGGAAATTCGGGGGCGAGGGGGTTGTATAAAGCTTGCACTTGATTTATAGGAGGGTCGTAGGACCAGGACGTTGCCCTGCCGCCGGGAGCGGGGGCGACTGCGCTTCGCGGGAGTCGCTCACCCTGGAATGTGCAGAAATTTCGGCGCGCAAGAAGAAAAAACACGACAGGATAACAAGACAGGGCATGGCCAGAGACAAGAGCAACGACGCACCAACATCTGCCGCGAATAATTCTCACGAGCAAGAGGGCAGACAAAGTCTCCAAATAATTACCAAGGCAGCATGCAACACTAAGCGATGGGCGCGTTGCTGATGCAAAAGCTGATATCCCACTTGGTAGGATAAGCGATTTGGTGCAGACCACCCGCCAAATTTTCAACAATTAGGGGGCAAGGTGGGGGACCCAGGCCAGACTCGGAGACACAACTGTTGGGTCCCCCAGCTCATCATATGGCAGCGTTTGCGCTGGCAACACGAGACCCGTGGGCAATTTCGTTTTCTTGGGGTCCAATTCTTGCATGCAGTTACCACGCTTGTGCTTGGCGGTGGTGGATCTAGGGCGCCTGTTGCATAGGTTGTGCAAGTGTCCCACATGTGCGGACGAATGCGACCCGCATAGTTTTACAGAACAGGTATTTACCAATGTGCAAGACTGTATGGCCGAACCCATGGGGGGTTGGACGCGGGCCCCTCTGCGGATCGAGCTTGCTATGGCTGGGGGCCGAGCAGGCTATGCACCTCAAGCGCTGGACAGAAAGAGCCCAGGCCATCTGATGTGGGACTCGCGTAGGCGGCATCACAGCAGCCGCTGGGGGATCCAAACCCTGGGGCAGGACGACCTGGGCAGGGCGTGGAATAAGGCGCGGCAGAACGCGAGACGCTAACACATCCGATGTACTTGCCGATCTGCTCTACTACAATACGCGACCTTCTCGGGCTTCCCATTGCCGCTGCATCAACGGGATGACGACGAGCACCGCGCTTAGCAAACCTGTCAGCACGATCATTCCCTATTGTTAACCAGGCCGCTCGGGCCGGAGGAGAAACATCGAGGTGTGCCGTCACCTTGTTGATATAGATGCTATCGTAACCCTCGTTCTGGCTGAGCCTTGCCCTCGAAGATCGCTCCGTCGTCGAGGCTCGTCCCAGCACTGAACTCCGTCGTTTCTGCCGAAACATCTGTGGCTCCTCTACCCCGATGCTCCTGCTGTGGGGGAGGGGAGCATGCAGTTATTAGCTCGAGCCCAAGCGCCGGCGCTGCATACACGCATGTTAATCACTTACAACATCCTACATTCCCAGAGGAAACCCTCTGGAAATCTTCAGAAATCACACTCATATTATTTTCTCTAACTAAGCGTGACACGCAGCTGGCGGGCGCTGGGCACAGCACCCAGTTCAACAGCAAAAGACAGGCGTCGCTGCAAACAGCGCAACACCCGTGCTGATCGCCAAAATGGCGTCGTGGTCGCACACGGCGTAGTAGTACATCACGTATCTGCCGAGCATGCTCCCTTGTTCGACTCACTGGCCTCCTCCTTCGTCATCCTCTCGTACATGTCGCGGAGGCGGATGGCCTTCATCTCGGCTTTGATCTCCTTCTCCTTGCTGGTGCGCAAGGTCTTCTC